GAGGCGAGGAGTTCCCACAGAGAGCCACACACGGCCCCCGCGAGGGGGGGGGGGGGGGGGGGGGGGGGCCGGGCGCATGGCAGCCAGTAGTCCCCCGCGGCCGGACACCCCACCACGCAAGGGTGAGCTCTTTCCCATGCACGAGGGGGCGCGCGGCGGCGGCGAAAGGACGCACGCTCGCGCACGTAGCTGTGCACGGAGAAAAGAACGGAACAGGAGGAGAGAAGGGAGGGGGGGGGCCGGTCGGCGCGCGACACGTCCCCCCCCCCCTGGATACTCGCCCTCTGCACCGAGAGGAGAAGCTAACTAACCTAGCATGCCTCGCGCACACGCGCACACGCGCGAACGGTGTGCTGTGCGCGCGCACATGCCCCGCACAAGACAGAGCTCAAGGGGGGATGGAGAGAGAGAGAGAGAGCGCGCGCTCCCCTCTCCGCTCTCGGCCTCGCCGCTCACTCCCCCCGCCCCTCACGAACGGGAGGGGAGGAGGAGGAGAGGAAGCAGATCCCGCGCGCTTAGTACTTGGCGAAGAGCAGACGGTTGGGGGTGCCCTTGACGTCCTTGATCTTGTTCTTGGTGGAGTTGTTGATGAGGTTGTTCTTGACGGTGGCAGGGGACAGAGCACCGGACTGGCCCATCATGAGAGCGGCAGCACCGGCAACGTGGGGGCAAGCCATGGAGGTACCGGAGATGGTCTTGGTGGCGGAGGAGGAGCCGATCCAGGTGGAGGTGATGGACACACCGGGGGCGAAGATGTGCGAGCAAGAGCCGTAGTTGGAGAAGGAGGCACGGGTGTCGTTCTTGTCGGAGGCGCTGACGGTGACGGCAGTGCTGACACGGGCCGGGGAGGAGTTGCAGGCATCGCGGTTCTCGTTACCGGCGGCAACGATGACGGACACACCGGCGGTGATGGCCGAGCGGACGGCGTTGTCGACGGTGTTGTTGGCACCACCACCCAGGGACATGGAGGCGATGGTCTTCTTGTTGGAAGACTTCTTGTGCTGCTCGGCGACCCAGGAGACAC